GTTGCAAATTGTCGAACGCTAACCAACTAAGCCTGGGCTCTTTTCCCTAAAGTGGTAAAGTTAGTAGGGATTTGAGCTCTTACCCTTAGTGATAATGGAATTAGAAACCTCATCATGGGTTCGACAATATTACCGCCAAGGCCTCAAGCCATTCTTGAAGGAGTTATAGCTAAAAGGCTCCTTTTAAAATTAATAGGTGTCAGTCTAATATACAGGGGCTTTTTAAGGGAGGTACAATAAAAAGGGGTTTAGGATGACTAACGAAATACATATAATAGATTCTTAGATCAAAGATTTGGGACACCATGAAACCCAATCGACCAAAAATGAAGTGAATGAAGTGTTAATACCATACTTCTCATCATTATGCATCTGTAAAAGTTCAAAAGAAAAATAATTTGAAGGAAATCCCAAAATGGAGAAAATACCTTGCAATTTGTAGGAATATTTAATAATTTTTATTAAATTATTCTTATATTTTTTACATTTTGTATGATAGGAAGCAATATGGATGCTTAAAACTTGAGCTTAATTTGGTGTATTAAAAACTTAAATTTAAAATACAATACGGGCTTACAAGAGTGAGACTTGAGTGTTAAATATAAAATATAAAGGGCTTATTTTTAAAGTCCAATAAAAACCAAGATTATTCATTTCTCTAAATTTGCCTTTCTTTTCTTCTTTAAAGCCACACATGGTAACTTTCACATTTCCCTCTTTCAATCAACCATTCATTTGCTTGTATTTTTAAAGGAAAAAGTTTATATAGGGTTGCAACATTAAAATGTAGAATTAAGGTGCACCTCAAAACTCCATCATAAAATGTTGTTTCGATGTTCGAAACCCTCTAATCGATCATCTTGACGTCGAGATGTATGAATATGAAAAGAAAAAAAGATTTTGAGTCCTAAAAATAGTTTATCTCACAACACATTATCTAGATCGTTTATTTTTTAAATTTTCAATTGTTTTTAGATCTACTTGATTTGAACTACTTTTGAAGTTTAAGATTTTATAACTAGAGATGACAATTAGATTCTCAAGCCATCCTAATAATGTTTTACACCAAAATTATATCTATAATAAAATTTCGAGGTGTGATTTAATTTGATTGTTTAATATTGCAACCTTATACAAACCCCACCCATTTTTAAAAAACATAAATTTCCTTTCTTTTCAATGACCCCTCACCTTATCGAATGGAGAAGAATTGACCTAGTCTACTAAAGAAACTTCACAATTAATTGAGAAGCACAGCTCTAGATTTTCCACCTAACACAAATAGGTGTTGGTTTCACGTCGTATTCGTATAAGATCATTACGAAAACCCCAAAATGAGAGATCCCCTTTCAATCATTTGAATTTAAAACTGAAACCTAATCTCACTCATCTTTTAAGAATGACGAATTTTCATTCCTACCATTATTTATTTATAGTCATCAAGAGGCATGTTTCCTACCCTCCAAAATTCACGTTTCTTCCAGAATGTCTAAACCACACCTATTTTTAACAAGGCCAAAATATATTCTACTTTGGCACTGGAGTGTACTGTCTATTTACTCCCTCGGGTAAAACCGCAGTGAGGATTAGTTTTAGGACCCAAACTTTGGAGATATAACATCTTTAACATAGAGATTAACCTTAAGGAAAATAGTTTTCTAATTGCACCATCTAAGCACTTGAAAAAAATAACATCTCAAGATTGAATAGAAATCGTCCAATGTTTAAAGTGAGAGCTCTAAGTGACAGAAAACTCAAATTTTAATTTTTTTTAGTTTTTTATTTTATCTAGTGATTCTAAAGTCGTTACCAAAATTTTAGATTGAAAAAATCCTCCCAACGAGATCATCTGACCGAGGGAGTAGAAGTAAACCATGGTCTCGAGGGAACATAGTATATGTGCTCTTTTACAATAGTGGGGTATGCATAAAGAGAGAGAGCTTAGCCATGGAGAAGTAGGTAGAGCCAACCTTGACACCCAAAAGAGTGAACAATCAAAATCTCAACAATGTTGTTTTTTTAACAATCAAAATATCAACAAGGTTTCTATTTTAGATTTCACAACACGAGCAAAGGAAATGAACTACGAACACGACATTTCTTCAAGCTCTCTCTCTCTCTCTCTCTCTCTCTCTCTCTAAATGTAGACTCTCTTTCTCTAAATGTAGACTCTCTCTCTCTTGAAATTCAAAACCAGCAAGTATCCACAACATATGTTACTTGGAATCGACTCAACACCCAAGTACGGGAGAATGTCAACTACATTTGATCCTTCCTCTAAGATATTTCAACCAAAACTCCCTCTCTCTCTCTCTCTACATACTTCGACTATACTTATACATTTGGGGAGAGAGAGAGAGAGAGATGTGTTGTGGTTGAAGGAAACTTGATTCCCTTAGGAAGGGGAAATAGTACCAATATCCTCTCACATGGGAAGAAGAAATGACAAAGACAACTCATCCTTTTCCCAAATATTCAAGAGAAAAGTTTATATAGAGACGAGGCTCTAAACAATCAAATTTAAGCCTACCTCAAAAAAAATTTGAGCCTACCTCAAAAATTTTACAGGAAGAAATTGTTTTGATGCCCAAATATCATCAACTTGATCATCTCGACATCAAGATGCATAGACATGAAAAAAAAATGGATTTCAAGTTTTGAAAATAGTGTATTTTTTAATGCATTTTTTTACGGTCAATTTTCAATATTTTCAAGTTTTATAGATTTAGTGATCTACACTATTTTTGAAGCTTTAAACTTTATAAATAAAAATGAAAATATATTTTAAGGCTATCATAAAGATTGTTAGTATTGAAACCACATTTCTCGACACTATTTGAAGGTGCACTCAAATTTGATTGTTTAGAGCCTAGGCTCTATACAAACCGCACCCAATATTCAAACTTGTCATGATTCTTGCAAAAAATATGGAAAATGGGAGTGACATTCTTGTGCGGAAGGCTCACCTCCCATTTCGCCATCCAAAAGGATATGTAATGAAAGAAAGAGAAAAAACACAAAATCCAGGGCACGATTGGTTCGGGTGAAAGTACTTTCTAAGTGGTATTTTTACTAGACGAAACTCTCTCGTGTGATTAAGTGTGGAAGTATGTTTACATATTGCTAATTGGTGTGACAAAATGCATTGAGACCGATTGATATCAAAGTACTCTTGTACCTAATCATATGGAGAAGTATTTTCACACAAACTAAATGTGCCCAATCTTCTAACTTTTCTAAAATGATAGTCTCTCGTGTCCATCATCATCATCAACATTAAAGTTGATTAGATTCATGCTACAACCTAAAGGTCTTGGATTCCTACTTGCCTCGTAATAATATCACCCATGTATCTTGAACAAGGTTTAAAAAAATTAGATTGGTCATTCAGATCGGCCATCCAAAAAACCAGTCTGGTTCGGTGGATCAGTAGTCCTTGTTAGCTATTTGGGCAAGTGAACCAGCCATTAAAAATGAAAGTGTGGCCAGTTCTGACAAGTTCTATGACAGAATCTCCAGTCGAGTGAATATACAAATACAAAATTAAAAAAATTAAGAAATTGAAACTAGAATTACTTTTCGCCGGTTATCTGATAGACCCAACTGGTTCATAGAGGGAACCGGCCAATTCCTGATATTTATTGAGAATTGGGATGGCCTGATCGGTTTTAGATCCAAATCGGTTGGTTGAGATATTGAATAGAGATCGGGAGACGCCTTTGAAGACAACCAACACTAGAACAGGCTGGGCATGAGGGATACTTAGGATACCAAGAAACAACAAAATAAACCACACATTATTGGGGATGGGAAGGGTATGGGTTTTCCTATCATTCTCATCTCTTTATATCCTAAATGTTGTTTATGCTTTCTGAAAAACGATGAAATGGAGCATACTGCAAAACTCTCCCTCACGCAAAGGGCTTGAATCCATTTTTTGATATGAAATTTTGGGATCACCTAAGAATATTTTTCAATCAAAATTTTGAATCCACTTAATAATCATCAGATGATTACTTTCAAGAAAGTAAATTGGTATTTTGAGTTCTTCAACATCTCTCACACCAAAATTGAATAGACTCTATTCAGTCATGTTATCTATTTCAAGCACCTAAGAGAGACTTAAATTTTTTTTCTTTTGAGGTCTGGGTTGAAGATAGTACGGTTGAAGATGGTACACTCCAAAATTTAAGATCCTGAAAATACTCTTAGAAAGTAAATGAGTAGTTTACAACCAAAGGATCAGGAAATCTTTTGGCAAATTTATAAAGTTATAAACCTTACGGGGCAAATAAATCTTTAACCATAGCAAATAAAAAAATATCCTTAATCATTACTTGAGATGAATAAGAACAGTGTTTTAAATCCCAATGATTTTTGGTTTGGACCATCGATCTCAATGGGAATTGATCGGTTCCAATATGGTATACGTTCCTTCTCCCCGAAAGCCCCTTATATATTTTTTCCCTTTTATCTTTTAAACCTATTTAATATTTTCTCCGGTCCCTCTCAATCCCCGCCCCATAAACCCCAATTTAGATTTTTTTATTTTTTTTATTATTTTTTTTAAATCACCAATTCATACTGATCCAAACCCGATCTAGATTATCAATCCAACAATCCATCGTAAATATGTCGGTGAGCGATCCGTCCTACCCATTTGAGTTTTGAAACACTTGGGGTCCCTTTCCCACTAGGCAAAAGCACCATTCACCATGCCGCAATACCCTTCAAAATAAGTAGGAACAAGCAACTCCTAATGAGAGGAGGTAGTATTTCTAGAGAGAGAGAGGGAGAGAGAGAGAGAGAATTTTGATCATGGAAATCCCATTCTAGAAAACACTCCTCCAGATCCAATCCAGATCGCCAGACAAGAGTCAGAGAACTTACCAGTCTCTGTCTCCCCACCCATCGGCATCAAATACGACATTCACAGATTCAACCCTCTGCTCTGAAACTTTCTCAGAGAAAGAAGAGAAGGGAGAAGAGAGCAACTACTCTGCAACACAAGAATAAAAATATACATAAAATCACAAGCTTAAACCCAACATTCAATATACGATTTCAAACACACAACTCTGATAAATTCATGGAGAATTTTCAGATGGTTTTTTCCTGTTCTTCTCCTTTCTGCAAATGAAATAACCAAACCCAAAAATCCCATTCACACCTTTAGAAACACATGGAGAAGGCACATTAAGAACAGGGCTAATCCTAATTCCACTGTAACCACTGTAATTCCCCTGCAATGGGGGCCTGGGAATCCCCTGCCTCTTCTTCCCCATTACCAACTTGGGTTCTTTAAAAGAGAGCTTCTCCTTTTTGGGTTCCTCTGGTGAAACCATTGCTTTAATGGGTTTTCTACTAGGAGTCTTTGAATTCTCTTTGGGGTTCGAAGAACCAGTAGAATTGCTTCTGTAGAGACCAGTAATGGAACCCATCAATCCCTGCTTCACTTTATTCCCACTGTTCATGCTACTGCTTCTTCTGAAATTCCAAAACGATTTGCTTGCTGGTTTGGTCTCTGATTCCATAATTTCCTTCAGGCTTTCTTTCTTCGACAGCGTGGGATCCTCCACTACTGGTGGTTTCAAAGTCTCTTCAATTTTTGGGGCCTCTGGTTTTCTGGGTTGAAGGGGTAGGATCTTGCCGTCGAAGAAGAGTTCATCAGCTGATGAGGAGGTTACTTCTTCTCTCAAGGAGATGCAGAAATCGAAGTCCGAAGAAGGATCGCGATTGAGAAGAGTAGTGTCTTCTCTATGAGGAGAGCTGCAGTCGTTTTGAGAGAGGTCATATGAGAATGAGATTCTTGGGCTTATAGGCCATCCCGAGCTCTCAGAGCACAAATCTATAGCCATGGTAGATGGGTTTTTCTAGTTCTTTTTTGCAGAGCAAGAAGAAGAAATATAACTTTAATGGGGTTTGCCAAGGTTTACCATTTCCGAAAGGGAATTCGGCCTTTTGATCAGAACAGCATTTTCCTAAAGCATAAAGAAATGGATTTGTAATGTGGCCCTTAAGGCTTTTCAATGTGGACAAGGAGCTAGAATTCTACTGGTTTTTCTATTCTTAATGGAAAATGAAGAAGCTGCAGAGGCCTTTTTAATCAGAAAACATAATCCAAGGCACCTGTAAAGAGCTCCACAAGAACACCAACGGCTCTTTTTCGAAGCTTTTCTTCTAGAGTTTTCTTCAGGTTCTATAAGGAATTCCCACAGTGAAGGAGAGATGGGTATTGAAGTTGCAGAGGTAACTCAGATCTCCATTGATCTCTCTCTCAGCAGAACACAACATAAAAAAGCCAAGGCAAAACAAGAGTATTATTGAGAAGGCGATGGAACCGACGGTTGAGATGCTTTTTCAGGGCACGTCTATTTGATCTGGGGCGTCTGTTTGGATTGGAAAACGACCTGCAACAGGGGTGAGTCACACGTCCTAGGCTTGTAAAGAAAGAGTGGAGTGGAAGTTGGGATGAGAGATGACTTTAATCGATGCCCTTTCTTGTGAAAGTAGCAGAGGAATTTTTAGAGAGAGAAAGCAGTCGGATTTTAGTAGAGAGAGAGAGAGAGTAAGGGGAGTAGGAATTTAGAGAGAAAAGAGAGGAATATATATATAAAGGAAAATGGTTTGATAGGGCTGCAGCCCTATCAAAATAAGTAAAGCCTCACCTCATAAGTCATTGAAAATTGTAATTCAAGCTTTGGAAAACCGATCATCTCAGCTTCAACGCTACAGTCATGAAGAAAAATTAGGGTTTCAAGTCCTAAAAATAAAATGTATTATACCAAATTATCTAGATTGTCCATTTCGTCTTAAAAATAAGTGTTCATAGAGATGCAAGATGTGTATTTTTTTTGGTTTCCAATTTTATTCTTGGTATTAAAAATTGATTTTGGAGCCATCATGATGATTTTTGTTGCCGAAAGTGCTTTCCGGAAGAAGATTTGAGGTGATGTTTTGTTTTGTTTTATAAAGCTCAAGCTTTATAGAAACTTCATCTAGAAATCATAGTTATCCAGACCAAACCAAACACATGGTCCAATCGGTCAAATAGTTGCTCTCAAGTTACAAATTGAGTTTGATCGAAAACTAGTCAAAACTAATCTTTGACCGATTTTGTTCGGTTAAGCTATTATATCAAATATTTTTTTCTTTTTTTTAAAATCCAATCTGTTCAACCAATAGGCATACCAATTTTCACTTAACCATAACCTTCACCAATTCGGTAGACAGTCCAATCATGATAACAGTGATATATGTATGGAGTTAAAAGCTTTTAAATTATACTTACCCAAAAAAAAAGCTTTTGAATTATTAGAAAGAGTAGAACGATTACACCATATATTTTTAAGTCCTTTCCTAAAAATGCATGCAAAAGCAAAAAGAGAAAACTTTGCGTTGGAATGCGTCTGATGTAAACAGCAGAAAAGTCCATTTGAAAAAAATGTCATAAAAAACATAAACTAATAAACTGTAACAAAATGGTTGCACCTTTTTCCTTGTGCCATTTGACAATTTCGAGCTCCATTGATTTCTAGAAGAAAGCTTAATCTTATTCAACATCGATTCATATTCCTCTCTGAACATATTTTTCTGCGTCTTTCGTGTTTGAACTTCGAATCATCGAGAAAAACTGGGCCCAAAATCATCCTCATTGGCAGGGGCATTGACTTGTCATTTCTAAGAAGTTTAGACAATAATTTTTACTTCTAGAACTTCTTAATATAGAGGCTCTTTTTTGACAATATGGGCCCCCTATAATTCTTCAAAACGAGTAAATGTTAAAGAAAGAATAAAACTTTTGTATACTTTGTGACAACAACAAATGCGGGTTAGGAATCGGGTTTGGACTTAAATGGTTACCAATTGACGTGTAGCGTATTGTATCTCAAGTTAAATTCCTACTGCATAACTACCCACAACAAACTTGAAAACCCGAGGACATCCCCACTAAAATTAGATGTATTACTGAGTCTATGAATCTAGAAGTACACTAAACTATAGGGCATATTTTAGATTTATTACGGAGTCTCTTAATCTAGGAGTACACTAGCCTAGTGAACTATAGGGCATATTTAATCTGTAGTCCACACTCATACCATAGTTCAACATTGGAATTTTCTCCAAACATTCTCAAAGTATATTTTTGGTTTGTTTTATACAAATTATATGAATATGAAATTTGGTACGCATCATCTTCTCATCGGGACGCACCTATAAAAAATATTTTAATTTTTTTTCAATAAAATATATGATCAAAATACCCCTTGAAACTTTCAAAAGTATTTTGGTTATTTTATTTTATTGAAAATATTTTTTTATATTTTTTGTTAGTGCGAGTTTAATAGGGGAATGAATATCCAAAATTTGGTGTGAAAATAATTTATAGACAAAAAAAAAAAAATAGTGTAAAGACATGACATCGAGATTGGGACAATCTTAACCCCCATTCAAAATGGACGGTTGAATAAAGAGGATGATAGAACTTCTATGGGGGGTGAGAGGAGAACGGAAGGTTGGCAAATATACAGACAGGTTACCGAAAGATGGTGGAGCTTTCTTTCCCCCTTTTTTTTTGCCTTTTTTCCAATTTAAAATTGATATTAAGCACAATGGTCTTTGCTTTGCCGCGAATTTAGGCCGGATTTCAGCAATATTTCGGGTAAATACCTGCGTTCCCAAAATATGCGCCATTCTTCTTTCACTTTTTACCCCATTTTTTATTGAAGAATTTTCTTTTCAACAAATTGTTTAATTGAATTTAGAGCCGAATATTAAACAAATAAGACAAAACAATAAGAGAAATGACATATAAAAATTTGGACCTCATAGCGGACATTAGGTCCTAAGTTCACCTCTTGTTGCTCAAATACCAGAGAGAAGGGTGGAGAGCAAAGGGATATAGCAAGGGCCAAAAGATATTATACTCCTGCGGGAGTGTATTATTTATTTATTCCCTCATGTAAAAACTCGCCTAGAATTAATGTTAGAATGCTAAATTTCGGGGAATGTAACACCTTTAGCCCATAAATTAACCTCAATATAAAAAATTTCCTTTTTGCACCCTCTATCCACTTTGAAAATTATAATGTACAGGGACTTATCAAAGACCATCCAATTTTTAGATGGTAAGATGTAAGTGCTAGAAAACTCATTTTTCCAACCCATGAGACCTCTCACATCCATCGTCAATTTTCAGCAATAGATAGTGTAGATGCTCCATTTTTCTACTCAAATCCGCCATTTTGGCACAACCAGCCTCGATCCCTCATTGTCTGAGTATCGACGGTCGAGATGGCATGTTCCCTTGTAAGTATTCTACATTATTAAGAGAGAGAGATAGAGAAGGTATCTCAGAGATTTTACAAAGCATAAAGTAGTGAATGGGTAGGTGTGGCAATGGACCTGACTAGACTTAAGACCTGACGGGTATACCTGACTTTAGGTCTGAATATGGGTTTAAATTTTGGACGCAAATGCTATTCGGGTCTGAGTCTGGGTCAGGGTCTAGTCGGCCCCGACCTGTACCTGTAGTTAGAGGGTATACCAGCGTTTAAAAAATCGCCGAGTCGAACCGGACTCGCCCGGTTCGACTCGGAATTCACGAAAAAGGGACCGGATG